GCCCGTCTCGCTGGCATTGGCATTGGCGTTGGCGCCGGCGACAGCACCAGGGAACCAAGGGACCTCAGTCAGTGGTTCATGACAAGACACCACCCACGAGACATGGGCTCCAGTTATGATCTCCTCGGGTCCCACTCCAGGCCCCAACAAAAAAAATATACAGCCGCCTTGCTCTGACGGCAGTCCTTTTTCACTGTCTTCACCGCCGGAATGCCCTTGGCGAATGGGAAAGTCGTGATTTTCACCACCAATCTTCATCAAGCGCCGCAAAACCTCGGCGAGTTGCCGTCGTTGCCCAAAACATCAGAAATTTTCCCGCAGATGCAGCTAATCATTCCAAGATGAGGCTGCAGGGCATGCTGTTCATCCAGTACTTCCTAGCGGAGTCATTGGGGATGTCCATCTTTTCGAAAACTGAGGCTGGCAATGGGACCCCCGACGTGACCCATTCCAACAACACCCGGGCAACCACGGCGATCTTGTGCTTACACAGTACCGGCTCGGACGAAGTCGCGAATGGCTAGCAATATGACTGGCACCATGCCCGGCTCACTCGTTATCAAGCTGACGCAGGCCTCGTTTCCAGGCCCTGGTCAGCGCCCCCCGGGCATCGCGAGATCAGCTCCAAACCACGCCACGATGGAGGCAAGTGCTGCGTGTCCTCAAACGGAACAGGTCTTGCATTTTCATCTGCCGCTATGCGCACCCTGCGCCATGCGATGCCTCATAGTGGTTAGGCCCGTAAGCTGGGCCCATCTTATCTGGCTACATTATCATGATATTTTTCCCGCACAGCCATTTCTAATCTAAGACGCGGCCGTTAGCCCGAGCCCATGCTCCATCCGGTCCCCAGGCAGCCTTAGGGCAGGCCGCCCGCCATACAATTGCTGCGATCTGTTGGGCAATGACGATGCTGTATGGAGTAGTTTCCCCACGCCAACACAGACATCCACCCAAGGTCTGTGCTTTTTGTCCAGGGCTTAATGGTCTGCTCGGAAGACTGGGGACATATTGGGCAGTCCCGAGGGAGGCGTCGGCTGCCATCCACTCCATCGGCCGTGGCGTTGGTCTTTTTTTCCTTCTCGAAGGATCACATGCCCGCCGTGGATCGCGGGTCCCGAATTGTCGGGATGGGCTGGGGGAGATTCTTACTCATCGCGGTGCGGCGCCAACTCGCGTTGCCGCTTGAACCAATGATGGCGCAGGGTGCCTTGCAAAGCTGCGGGCGATCATTCAATCCCCAGCCAGACAGCCAGCCAGCCAGCCACGACAGCCAACAGAAGCTGCCGCAGGGGGTGTTCCTCTGCCTGCGTACGCAAGCCAAACCGTATCCCACGTGGCAACCGGGGTTCCGTATCGACGAGGGCGGATGACCCCTGCAGATCACGAGGGTTGTCAGCCTGCTCTCGTCTGCTTTTGGGGTACAGCCACTGTTGACCTTGCAGGCACAGGACACGCCAGTGCCCAGTTCAGCTAAAGCTGTCAGCTCTACACCCACACAGACGGGCACACGGCAGCTGGGGGGGACTGCGGCTGTGCCGTGTCTGCATGCAATTACAGGTACAATTCGGTTCTGTACCTGCCAGCTGCGGCGCATTTCGATCGCCCCTCAGCTGAGCAGCACATGGAAACGCTGTTCCGGAAGCTGCGGGACGCGAGGACCGATCATGAGCGTCACAATGAGGAAAAGAGGAGCGAGCCAATATTGACGGTTTCAGCTTCTCTGCTGCAGCCGGACTGGGGACCTGGCAGACTTGCGCGCTTTCTGCAGCAGCGCTGTCTCGGCAACACATGATGGTGGTGGTGAGTTATCGTGGCGCGCGCACACACATACACACTCACACACTCACACACATACCCTGCATACCCGGACCAGACATTCCTCCCATCCCCTTGCTCCGTAGGTCCGCTGCCTGCCAGCCTGCCTGGCGTCGCCAGACCCATTGCCGAATCACACATCATCTGACCGTCACCACTTCAGCAGCCTGCAACCCGATCTGCAACCACTTATTCAGGGCATATGCACTTTCCATCTTATCCGTCAATAGAATTGCACCTTTGGCCACTGGTCTTGCGCTTTCCTGCCGCGTGGGCCGATCTGGACAAATGGAGACATTTCCCAAACCACACACACTTGCATACATACCACAGTACTACTGATACTGATAACAGGGATATATAATATCCCCTCCAACTCGCTTAGCGACGGTGGGTGACACAGTTCGTGGCCGGCAGCACGAGCCTCGTGCTAAGGCAACATGCCTTCAGGGATGTACATCACCTGATGATGACTTACGAGAGCGAGCTGCTTCTCCCTTGTGAACCCCGCGGGTCGGAAAATGGACCTTATCACCGCGTATATACCTCTTTCACGGGACCTCGGATCGAAATAACCTCCTTGCTGGCAAGGTTTGAAACCACCGCCACTTGGGGGAGGGGCTTTTTTGGTGGGGGTGGTCCCATCTGACAGCAGGCAGCTGCAGCATCTCCCGATAAACTTCAAGATGGGCCCTGAGAACGGGCGGCTAAATACGACTTGGGCACGCCGCACTAGGATCGGTTGCACGGCTGTCACAGCCCGCTCCCCAAGCCACACCAGATGTGCTTGTCCTACACCGATACCTTTCGACAGCTTCATCAACATCAAACGGTCGCATGGACTCGGCGAGACGATGAACATTCGTCATGGCCTGAGCTTAAACGCGGGGGGCCGAGGGGCCAGTTGCAGTGCAGCTTGTGGTTGCAAGACCACGGGCGCGTGCAGAATCTACACATGCCATGGCGATAATGGTTCGCTGTCGCCTGGGTTCTCTCTCTCCCGGGGGGCACAGCAACAAGCCTCGCGGCCGCTATTGACGGGCCAGGGCTGGTGAGAAGCCAGCCGCCTCTACTGCCCTGAACCCAGCATGCCTGCCTGCCTGCCTGCCTGGTTCACCTGATGATTAATGGTTGTAACAGCGGACCAGGGTGTCAAGGCAGGTTGGTTGACGTGCTGCCTTGTTATCTCTCGTCACATCTGCATGCACAACACCCGGTACCTGCCATTCTGCCTGCTAAGATATGGTATAGGTGATAGTCCACGTGGGAGAGGCTGCGTGTCCATCTGGCTATGATGGGGTATGACTCAAAGCAGGGATTGGAAGGCAACAGGGAGATACGAGGGCAGGCAACCAGTATTCTTTCCCGATCTGTTGAACACATCATGGGAAAGACTGGGATGGGAAAGGGTGTGAGTGTGAGTCGTCTCCCGAAGTACCTGGCGTCATTCCCGCGGCCACCCAGATAGTTGGCCGGCTAAGGTGTAGCCGGCCAATACGGGCTGGGGAAGAGGTCTTTTTTTGGTCCAACATACATCACAGCACTTCCATTCACAGCCGCGTGCATGGGGTGGACGGGTGTGGCATGGCACGGCATGGGGGCGAAGGGCGGTACATCAGCGACTTGTACCGGTTTGCCGTCCTGCAAGCACTCACGAAGCTGCATGTTCCCAGGCCTGGGCGCTCACAGACACACACACACACACACACACACACGATCACAAGGCCCGGCGGTGACTTGCTTCTGTTGCTCTCACATACCCGCTTCCAAGAGACCGGGAAACACTAGAAAGGCATGGCGATGCGTGGTACTGGGCAGGGATTAAGTTGGGGGTGTGAATGGTTGGTGATTGGGAATTCCCATGACCTTAACGATGCCCACTACTTTTTCTTGTTCCTGAAACCCGAGGACGCAGCGCGGGGTAACTGCTGCTTTTCCCAGCGACCCATCCCTCGGCAGTGCAAGAAGGAAAAGAAGTAAACAACACGAGATCTCGGGCCCCGGCGCCTTAGGCCCGCCCGGCGCACTGGTGTCACGAGGGTGCGCAAGGCACGGCTGGCACGTCGAAAACCCGCCCACCCGGCTCCGTCGGCCGTTGTTCTGTACCCCAGCTTTCCTCTCTGCCCGTTTCTCCGTCGGAAGTATGCACCTACCTCGCAAGGCGTGCACGAGTTCAGGAACAGCTCAGCTACTGTTTCAGATCCCACCACCCAGTCGCGAGAGATGTTGCCACTGCTCGCAGTTTGCGTCGTCTTTGCTGCTCCTTTTTTCACCCCAAGTCACAATCATCGCAACATATAAGCCCCGCCGCGCCTCGGGTGGTGAGGCGGGCTGGAAAAAATAAAGTTTTCCCGCCTCGCGCACATCACACCAACACCAAGGGCAAAGCCGCACTGGGCTGGCGGCGGGAGAATTATTGCGGTGTGCGTCTGAGAGATCATGTTTCACACGAACCTAGAGTCATCGCAGGATCCCGTCCTCATTGGTTACCAAGGCCCAGGAACGCCGAGGCGCCTCTTCCACTTGGCCAAAAAAAAAACTACTGTGAGCTAAGCAGCCCCTTGGCACAACCCATCCCGCGGCCGTGCTCGCACTACGTTGTTTGCGAGCGAGGCGTCATCCCAACGCCCGGGGACTCGGCGATACATTTCTAATCGATCCTCATTGCGTCAACTCTCGATAATGTCTCGCATGGTGCTAGCACTGCTGACAGGGAGGGCCGCGCATCGTGTTCTGCTCTAAGCTTATGTGCCCGCCTTTGTTCGACCACGGCCGCCAAGTCTTGAAGCCCATTCCACTATGGTTACCGAACGTGGAAGCAGTCTTCGCGGTGATGGCCAAGCCCGTCCGTGTGTAGACTAGACTACTCCGTAGTGCTCGTAACTAGACCGGCAGGTTTCTTCCGGTACTTTTTCGGGACAGGGATGGGCATAGGATGAGCCTCTTATTAGAGCTGCTATTCCTCTTCGTACCAGACAGTGTCAGGTATATTGTTGCGGGTAGATATATCGTTCTTAAACGTACTGGTCGCTACACGAGAATTCGGACGCACCTTAAGGCTATGTCACTGGACAGATCCTTGGGTACAACATCGTCTTGTATCTCTTCGACCAGGACCAAAGCTCGTGTACATTTTGACGTGACAGGACGAACCTTGCAGAGGATTGTAGAAGCTGTGGACATAGCTTCCCTCGGCCCCAATATTGGATATCTGGCCCATGACTCGGGCGCGTATGACGACTGCGGCCAGTAGCATAGGCCCCGTATTGAGGCACCCATTCCAAGTCTCTACTCAGACTGACACCGGAGAATTGTATTCGGACTTTCATTTCATGCTATGCTTTGGAATCCCCATGGTCCTCTCTACCATTTGGCTCGCTTGGTTGCTTCTGAGAGAGTGTGTTTCTTGGTAGGGGTACCTAGGTACAAACACCCACCTGCAGGTACCCGGGTACTGCTGTCAGGAGCTATGACCTCACCCTCCCGATCGGCATCTAGAGTGCTTTCATCCCATCAACACCAAGCTGTCTTGCCCCGCGACCGTTCGCGATCTCGATCAGAGTTACCCCTTACAATGGTCACCAAGGGTCGCTGGCAATAGTTCAGACGCCACACCACCCAAACAACGCGGTCGCACGCAGGAAAGCGGGTTGCTGTCAGAGCACAGCCAGACAGCCATGGCCCCCATCCGAAGATACCTCAGGATATCCAAGTACTCGGTGCTAGAGTGCCGCATCTATCTCGACAATCCAGCCCTAGCGCACACATGGCTCCTCAACCCCCGCGATCCGGTACTGCCCAAGGTCATCGAGAGCGTACGGCCGCTGGTGCTCCCCAAGCTGCGCGAAGAGAGGGAGCGTAGCCGCAAGAAGAGCACGAAAAAGCGTGGCATCAAGGATATCGTGGTTGAGGGTGCGTTCCCCAGACCTTGTTTGAAACATGACAAGCAATCTATTTGCGGAGCAGGCTGAAGGCTGCAGCCTGCGCGGGACCTCGAAACATTATTGCCAATGCTGATCACCAAATGCGCTTCGCCCAGACGACTTCGAGGTGTCCATCTTCCTGACCGAGACGAGCACCAGGCACTCGCTGCTGTACAAGCACAAGCACTTCCGAGACACGACGCAGACCAAGCTGACGTCAAACTCGGCCAAGTTGACGGGTGCCTCCCGAGAGGCGCCGATCGACGTCGATGTTTCGGGTCAGACTGTTGAGGCGACCACAGTAGTGCGAGAGGAGGACCCCTACGATGACGCAGTACCTCTCCGTGACATACCGACAATGGACGAAGATGAAACAGCTCCAGCACGCGTCGGCTCGCCACCCTCAATGCTGCCATCAAAACGCCGCCGCGGGAGGGCCACAAGGCTACCCGGGGCAGAGGGCGGCGACAGTGCCGAGCATGATGCCGACGTCGTGATCTCGGACGACGGCGACGACCTTTTTGTTGGCGGTGATGACTCTGACGGCTCGGCAGCGGCGCCGCCTCCCGCCAAGCGTCGCAAGGATGCCGCTAGTCCCGCCAGAGGCGAAGCTCAAGGCGACGACAAGAAGAAGCTAGCAATGGACATTCGGTACGAGGGGTTTTCTATCTACGGCCGCGTCCTCTGCCTCGTCGTCAAAAAGCGTGAGGGTCTCACCACCACCACCACCACCGGGAGGAACGCTCCGGCCAAGGCCGGACGAAAAGCGGGGCAGTCGGCCGCGCCTGGCGGCGGCCAGGCTGTGATGGAGAACTGGATTACGTCCACTCAGATGCCCGAGGTGGCCCCTGACGACATTCCAGGGGCGTCTTGAAGGGCTGGAACCTCAATTGAAACAAATGTGTTCAAAAGCAATTGCGGTGTCTTCTGTCGCACCGGATGTCCGGTTCTGTTGATGTCAGTTGAACTCTAATCGTGTGACCTTGAGACGACAAGGCTGAGGCCCTCGCATGACTCGCTGGGGTCTCAACCGCACAGTGCGGCATCCCATCATGTGTAGTAGGGCCTGTCTGGACCATTACGATCCCGCTCGCACCAATCAGCCGCCATGTGAGGACGATGAACGGGCCGTTTCCGGAATGGCGAAGCGAGAGCGTGGAAAGGGCCGCATCTCGTGGGAGGTGCCACTAGAGTTTGCTTGTCACGATCCTTGGCGCCCTATTTTGAGGGGTGAAGGAGGCTCGTGTTGTTTCTGCGCAGAGAAACGTCCGATAGGCCTGTTGGAACTCGATCTCCAAGCTGTCAAATGGCTTCGAGTGTTTCAATAGAGTGGGATCTAAGGTTGGTGCGAACGGGAAAGCACAGGCTCGACCAAGCTGGCGTAAGGGACCGCGCCCATCGGGATGTGGGCTGAGGGGGGTTGGACGTCGCCTTGCCTCGCGGCCACTCTCGCGCGAATGATGTAGTGTGGTCCGAGTTGGGATGCACTAACCGTTGTTCTGCAGTCGTTTTGCGAGTTTTCTTGGGTTGGTTGTGCCAGAGCTACGGATACCAAGCCGTTGAGTTATTGAAAGCTGGGTGCGAAAGTCTCCCGCTTTGTCTCTGAGCTAGGCACAACTACAGTCTACGGGTACGCTACCATGACACTATGCCTCGTGAGCGCAAAGACGGCGAGGTAAATCGACGATGGAGTCAACCTTTCTACTCCACAGGCAACGCTGATTGGCCGGCATATGCCGTCCAGATGCCACATCTAAGGCATCATACTGTTATCGGCCTGAGAAAGGCTCACTAGGGCGAGTAAAAAGACAAGTTCAACATGTACAAGAAGTGTATGTACTTGACTAGATCATGATTAAGGGCTACGGCATACTCGTAAGGTTTGCCTACGGAGTAAACACGGGATCGGACTGATAGCATGTGCTCAAGTGAAGATAGAGATAGTCAACCAACACTGGCATTAGCGGCCACTCCCATTGTTGACCAACAAGTTCGGCGAGCCCTTAGGGTCCGCAACAGCGTCCGGGATAGCCAACTCGAGGATCCGGCCCGTGACCATATCCGGAGTCCCAAGGCCGCCCTCCAGCCCGCGGAGGTAGCAGACAAGCCCGGAGACGAGCGCCGTGGACATGCTGGTGCCCGTCTTGGTAGAGACGCCGTCGTCGGCGCGGGCGCTCGCGCTGGCGATGTCTAACCCCGGCGCGAAGACGTCGAGCTCGGGCCCGTAGTTGCTGCCCTCGAGGCCCTCGCGGAGTTGGCCGCGGGCGCGGTCGCGCTGCGTCATGCCGACTGTGAAGGCCTGGGGCAGGCTGCCTGGTGAGATGCCGCGCACCGGTTCTGCCTCCGTGTTAGTCACCAGTTGGCCTGATGTTGATGTATGGGGATTTCGGGGGTGATGCGTTTATATAGAGTATCTTAGGGTATCATGCGCAGGGGAAAATGTGGTGCTTACTGTTGGAGTTGCCGGCTCCCGCGACGCTGAGGATCCCCTCGTTGTAGGCCGCCAGAACGGCGTTGTCCAGCGCTTGAGATTTTGGGCTCGTGAGGGACAGGTTCAGGACTGATTTACTCTCGGTGCCCTTGGACTTGATGTCGTTGACGGCCCATGCGATGCCGGCGAGGACGGCTTCGATCGAGCCCTGGGATGTGTTAGTCAGTGTATAATACTATATGGTTGATCCGAGCGGCGTATAAAACCCAAAGGAAGTCTTACACCGCCACTCCCCATGATCGTGACATCAATAACCTTGGCTTTCTTCGCCACGCCAAACCTCTTGCCGGCGATGATACCAGCGACGTGAGTGCCGTGCCCGACTTCTGTGTCATAATCGTCGCCAACTGGCTCGGTCGACCCAGTCAGGACGCTGTAGCCAAAGCTGGCCCTCCCCTCGAACTCGGCATGCGACAGCCGGATCCCCGTGTCAATCACGTACGCCGTCGTCCCCGCCCCGGCGGTCCTGTCGTACACGTACTCAGTGGACCCGGCACTGCGGTGCGACAGGTCGCCCAGGCTCCAGGTGCTGCGGGTCTGCGTCGTCAGGCTGCGGCGCGGCCGCCATGGCCACCATGACTGTGGCAGGAAAGCTGTCGACGTGTCCTCCTCCTTCTCCTCCTCCTCCTCCTCCTCGCCGGCCCAGGCGACGCGGACCACCTGGTCTCGCTCGACGGCAAGGACCTCGTCCAGCCCCTGGATGGCGGCGATGGTGGCGTTGTCGAAGCGCCCGCTGTAGGCGCTGAAGTTGTCTCCGATCTGGAAGGTCCGGTCCAGAGAGCCGGCGGAGCCATCGCGCCGCCGCAGGAGGCTGCGCACCGTGTTGTGGTGTGTGGTGACGGCTTCTGGGCTTGTTCCGGGCTTCAGCTGGATTATATACTTGCCCTCGATGAATTCTGGGTTGGCACCGCGGGCCATGCCGCTCGCCGCCGCGAGGGCGGGAACGACGGCGAGGATGAGTGATGCCAGGGAGGTCCTCATTTTGAAGATGCTTCGGCTGACAGGTTGTCCTGTAGGAGGTTGTTCTGTAGATGGTTGTCCTGTAGGAGGTTGTCCTGTAGGAGGTTGTCCTGTAGGAGGTTGTCCTGGAGGAGGTTGTCCTGTAGGAGGTTGTCCTGGAGGAGGTTGTCCTGGAGGAGGTTCTCCTAGAGGTTGTCCTTGGGTGTACCCTCCGTTTTTGTGGGTGTGAATATCCGATCTCTTGAAAAAATACTGGACTGGCCTGGGAAAGATCCGGCCCCAAGCCGGCCATTCTGTTCGGCGCGGACGCGGGACCTCAGACTCGAGCTGGTCCGGGGTAGCATTCAGAACGAGAATGGTTATGCCAAATTTCCAATCACAGTACAATTTCCTGCCGTGGCTTCCTTTCCGAGCTGACTTCATGAAAATGGCCGATGGATAAGTATTTTATACATCTCTTGACCTCATATGGATATGGCTCGAAAAGATGATAAATCACCATGGTGTATGCAGACAGGGAACACCAAAACAATACCCCCAAGAATGCATCTCGGGTCGTTTGCAACACCGGCGGCGGACCATAGACCTAACACATCCTCGCCAATCCGCCAAGCAAAGCTTGACATTGCCTGGGCAATTAGTCAGTGCGTGTTTTTATATATCCTTTGCTTCGTCGGCTTCCTAGTCGACGGCGCCGTCAGAAGCGATGCTCCCTAGCCTTCCAAGGCTGTCTGTGCGGCACGAGGCTGATATCTGGAGGCCACGTACCCACTCACTAAGGTTTTTGTTACTAATATCGGCATTGTTTTGTGTTTTCTCTGGATATTTACGCTTGGCTCAGTTATGATGAGATCATGTACGCCTTCGGGATGTTAATGGATGAAAAACGAAACCACCTAATGAGAGGAATATCATGTAGTTTAGAATCACGCGTGTATGGCTTTTTACGTGTTCGGAATAGAAGCGAAACCACGTACATGCTCATGAGTCAACCCAACTTGAAAATAAGACTGATTGCTGACTTAAATTGACTACGGAAGGCAAGAACCTCTCGTGCTTTTGGAATAAGGCAGCTAGTCTACGCACTCTACTTAGTCTGCATGTTCACGTGGTCAGGGTAGGCTCGTCAATGTAATAGTTTCAGAACAATGTGTACAGTCATACAATGGATATGGGAAAGCTTGTAACAACCGATCACTGATGTCAAGAATCAACCTAGCTTTCTACCTAGAGCGGACTCAAATCCTACAGATCGCTCAATACAGCTGTCTTGCGTATTGTTTCCGCAGACTTGCTGAATGACCCAATCCCACAACCCACAACACCAAAAACGGCCCATGCCGGCCTCATTTAGCCTCAAATTGGCAGACCCTCTTGGTTTTTATCTTGTGGAACACCCATCCGCTACAGTAATCGCACTGCAGACGCTCCCCCCTTCTGTTCTGTACCTTGGTGCTACAGTCGGCGCATTGATACGTGACTCTGGGGTTCTGGGGCGGGAGTCTCTCGTATGGTCGCTGTTGTGGCTTCTCGTTCTCGATCTGGCGGCTGGTCGACTGGCCGAGCGGGCTTTTCGCGCCTGGGCTGCTTGCCCCCTGGCTGGTTGTCGGAACGGTGTACGCTTCGCGAGACATTTTTTGGTAAGTGAAAGGCGACAAATGCGTGGGGGTACTGTCGATGTGTTCTACTCCTGAGAGACGACTTGGTTTTCCGATAATAGATCCGGGTCCGAGAAGGTGGCCTCGGTGTGTGAATTGGAGATACCTCGGCGCTGCTTTGTCTTTGACGTGAAGACTTTGAGAGCCCGGGATAGGAAGACCGAGGCTGGATTTATTGGGTGTCTGTCTTGGCCGCAAACAATGAACACAGCCGGTGAATGCGGCAAGGCAAAGTCAACGCAAAGTCAGGAAACTCGGTCAGTATTCATAGGGGGGATAGAGGGAAGTATCAGTATATGTGTTGAGCTAGCTGAGGAATGCTATTATTTTCTTGAAACGTACTTCTGAACATTGATACTTGGAATGCGAGATGGCGTTTTAAGGGCACAGAGGCCAGCCACAACGGACTCGAGCCGTTTTCAGTTCCGCGTTTGGGCACGTCAGAAAGCTAACCAGGTCTTGGAATTGCTCCATGAATAATTGTGTGGTTTGCTCTTCACACTTCAACATGGAGGTTCTAGTCTCTGGAATAGTGACAGAAAGGATTGCTTCCGGGCGTTTACCACTGTATGAAGGCGCTGCATATGTTTTACTTTTATGCGGGTTAGAAACACTTTAAGGAGTGCTTCCCACTTCATACATGCGCAACAGCCATCACACAATATGGTTGTAAGCCACTGAGTGGTGCCGGCAGGGCATATACAGTGTGGCAGGACCGCAAAAGGAGACGCCACCCGGCTTCAAACTGCCGACACAGCCTGGCCACTGCCCAGACCAGCACAGCAGGGCCCCCCAAATCTCCTCTTAGAAGACATCACCCCAGGGGCAAAGCCATGCCTCGCAAAACGGCAAAAAGAGATCAGATGGTCCCGGAGAGGATCGAACTCGCGACCTTGGCATCACCGATGATTCCTCGTATTTGAGGAATTATTAGTACCACGCTCTAACCAGCTGAGCTACGGGACCACTTGTTGTTGAAATGGGGCCGGAAATGTGAAAGATGAGGGTGGCGAGGGTGAAAATTTCTCAGCGGTGGGTGGGAAATTGGCGGAGATGTGCCGGGTCGGGGGGGCTGGCTCGGGATGCCGAGGTGGTCTGTGCGCTGCGCTGCGGGCCGGGGCCATGCTGCAGCCGTGAAGTACCTGGGTACCTGGTAGTATTGGAGAAGGAATGAAATGGTTGTTTCTGTCTGTTGTAGGAGGCACACACAGTATATCCTATGCTGCCAGAAACTCCTGATATCAGTTCAGGCACGTGGGTTCTATACTTAAGTACCTAGGTATTGATCCGGGCACTAGGGATGTACACACGTGGTGGAGCTGCCGAGTCTGGAAGGCACCCCTGCAGGCCTGACAGGGGTGGAGCTTAGACGAGCCCGAGTTTTGCGACCGCGACTTTTCCCAGAGACCGACGTCAGCACTGCAGAGGTGGAAGTATGAACACGACTTGAGGGACCATGTCAAAGTCGTGGCAGTCGACGCTGAGACTGCCAAAGGCTTCGATACCGTAGGTGCACGCCGGCCCCCACCAGCACGTGCACTCGCATGAGCTCCATTCTGACAGCACCCCCCCGACAGACCTCGGCCGGTACCACAGCTGCAAGAGCAATACCTGCGGAGATGCACCGACGCCCTCTATGAGTGGCAGGCCGCGAACCGACCTGCCGACAAGCAGTTCATCCTCCACGACGGCCCCCCCTATGCCAATGGCGCGCTCCACGTCGGACACGCCCTGAACAAGATCCTCAAGGACACGATCCTCCGGGTCAAGGTGCAACAGGGCCACAGGGTCAAGTACGTCCCCGGCTGGGACTGCCATGGCCTGCCCATCGAGCTCAAGGCCCTCGAGGCCCTGGGCGTCAGGGAGATGGCCCCCGTCGACGTGCGCAGCGCCGCCAGGGAGCTCGCCACCAACACGGTCCTCTCGCAGATGCGCGAGTTCCGCTCCTACGCTGTCATGGCCGACTGGGACCGGCGCTGGACGACCATGGACCCGGCCTTCGAGATCCGCCAGCTCGAGCTGTTCCTCGGCATGGTCCGCGGCGGCCTGATCTACAGGAGGTACAAGCCCGTGTACTGGTCGCCATCCTCGGGCACCGCCCTCGCCGAGGCCGAGCTCGAGTACAAGGAGAACCACACCTCGAGTGCTGCCTACGTGACGTTCCCGGTCGCTGCCTCGGCTGATAGCGGCGCTGCACTCGGCCAGATCCTCGGTGAAGGCTTTTCCGGCCAGCTGTATGCGCTCATCTGGACGACAACACCCTGGACCCTGCCTGCGAACAAGGCGATCGCCGTGCACGACGACCTCGACTACGTCATCATAAGACACGGGGGCGATGCTCTCATCGTGGGACAGGGTTGTCTCCAACAGGTCCTGAAGGCCTGCTTCGATCGCACCGAGCTGCACCAGGACGACGTGATCGCATCATGCAAAGGCTCCGACCTGCGTCGCTTCATGTACCGCCACCCACTCCATGGGGGATCCGCAGCGCACCAGCCCATCATCCACGCAGACTTCGTGTCTGCCGAGTCTGGTTCCGGCCTGGTCCACCTTGCACCCGGCCACGGCCACGACGACTACGAAGTCTGCAGGCCCCTGGGCCTGGATGTCTCTGCGCCCGTGGACAACGCTGGCCACTTCACGGCGGATGCATATCCCCTGGACCCTCAGCGGCTGCAGGGACTTTTCGTCCAGGGCAAGGGGAATGCAGCCGTGCTGGAGCTCCTGGGCAATCATGTCCTGCACGTCCACAAGTACCAGCACAAATACCCCTACGACTGGCGCACCAAGCGCCCAATCATCGTCAGGGCGACGGCGCAGTGGTTTGCTGACGTCGCGGGGATCAAGGACCAGGCACTCAAGGCCCTGGATGATGTCCAGTTCATACCCAGCGGTGGGAAGACCAGGCTGGAGAGCTTTGTCAAGGGGCGAAGTGAGTGGTGTATCTCGAGGCAGCGTGCATGGGGGGTTCCCATCCCCGCTTTGTATGACATGAACGGCGACGCCATCATGACTGAGGAGAGCGTCCAGCACATCATTTCCGTCATACGGGAGAGGGGCACCGACGCCTGGTGGTCCGACAAGCCCGATGACCCGGCGTGGGTCGTGCCATCGCTAAGGTCCCACGGCGAGTATCGACGAGGAACAGACACCATGGACGTCTGGTTCGACAGTGGCAGCAGCTGGACTCATGAGGGGGATGTCCAAGCAGATGTCTATCTCGAGGGCTCGGATCAACACCGTGGCTGGTTCCAGTCCAGTCTGTTGACAAGGATCGCCGCCGCCGCGGGTGATTCCGACCGGGGCAGCCTGATCAAGCAGACCGTTGGCCTCGCCCCATTCAAACGTCTCATCACGCACGGGTTCACGCTGGACAAGGAGGGGAAGAAGATGTCCAAATCCCTTGGCAATATCATCAGCCCCAACCAAGTCATGGACGGAAGCATGCTGCCTCCCGTCAAGAAGCGGAAGGACAAAAACGCCCCGAAGGAGACGGCAGGCACAGCTCCTGCGGGGCCACACTACGACGCCCTCGGGCCAGACGCCCTGCGCCTCTGGGCGGCCAGCAGCGACTACACGCACGACGTGGTCATGGGGGACTCTGTCCTGAAGCCAATCCACATCTCGCTGCTCAAGTACCGGACAATCACCAAGATGCTCCTGGGGTCGATGACCGAGGCCGCCCGGGCGGCCCCGCTCACGACCACGGACCACATCGCGCTCATCCAGCTCCGCGACACGATGGGCGAGGTCGGCCGGGCCTACGACGGCTTCGAGTTCCACAGGGGCTTCAGCCTGCTCAACAGGTGGGTCAACAACGACCTGTCGGCCTTCTACCTCGAGGCGCTCAAGGACCGGCTGTACTGCGGCGACGGCGGCGGCGTGCTGGAGCCCGTCTTCTGGGGCCTCATGCGCATGCTGGCGCCCATCACGCCCGTGCTGGTCGAGGAGGCGTGGGACCACGCGCCGGCGTGGCTGAGGCGGGGCGCCGTGCACCCGCTGCGGCAGCTCTACGCGGCCCCCGTGGTTGACGATAACAACGGGAGGCAGCAGCAGCTGCTGGTGCCGGGCGGGGAGGAGGAGCGCAGGCTGCGCGAGGCCATGCCCGTGCTGTTCGCCGCCCACGCGGGCATCAAGTCCGCCGCGGAGCTGGCGCGCAGGGACAAGAGGGTCGGCTCGTCGCTGCAGTGCTCGGTCGTGCTGCGGGTGCCGGACCGGGCCGTGGCCGACGTGCTCCTGCGCGTCGACGAGCTCGAGGGCGCCCTCGTGGTGTCGCACGTGGCCGTCAACGAGCCCGTCCCCGAGGACGCGGAGTGGCAGTACTCGGTGGACTTCCAGGTCCCGGGCGGCGGCGGCGGCGGCGAGAGTGTGACGTGTACCGCGTGGGTGCTGCCGCCCAAGGCGCACAAGTGCCCCCGGTGCTGGCGCTACATTGCCCCTCGGGAAGATGAGCTCTGCGGGCGGTGCGAGGATGTCATTGCGAAGGGGGAGGTTGACTGAGGGGTCTTCAAGGTCGGGGGCGATGGGCGATGGGCGTCCCTGGAATCTCAATACAGAAGAAAAAAAATATAGAATATCCGAAAGATACCCTATCCACTCACAGCCGTACCTGTTTGAAGTTGTAGTGTCGTGACATGTCTGCTGTATGTACGGATAGTCTGATGATCTCTTGGCACATGAATTGTTTTTATTGTCTGAACTCTACTTTGGAAGAGATAAAAGCACGCCAGTCTTTTGTGAACGAACAGCCGGGAGTGCTTACCATCGGCCGTGCCTTCCGACGTGCTTCGGCGCCCGACTTCGGTCAGCAACGACTCGAGCGGCAGCGGATCGCCGCGGCACTAACAAAACTCACCGTCAAAACCGCGGCTGAGCCTCAACAGGCCCGGGCATCTCAGATCGCATCGCATCATGCACATGCAGATCTTGTAACCACAACCTGCGATGCGCCATGCGCTGTTGTTGACCAGACTCACCGCCGCCAAGACCACTCGCTCGCCCCGGCTTCTCCTCGTCACACATGCAGCCTGGCGACCTCAGCAGCATCTCAAAATGAGCAGCACCACCGCGTCAGGCAGGACGTATGAGGTGAGTCAGTCGAAGCGGCAGTACCTCTATCCCTGGTAAAACATGCGCCACAGCCACAGAGGACCCTCAGCTGATGAGACCGCACAAAGGACGCAATCGACGCCCTCAACACATTCCAAACGCCCTTCGCGGTGATCGAAGCCCGCCGCAAGGCCGGCATCAGGCCCGATGAGGCCAGCGTCCGCGAGATGAAGGCCTACTGGGCGCGGCTGGGCCACAGCCCCGACGACCTGGACCGGCTCAACGTCGTGCACGTCGCCGGCACCAAGGGCAAGGGCAGCGTGTGCGCCTTTGTCGCCTCCATCCTGGGCCGGTACCGCCGCCGGCGCAGTGGCAGCGACATCGACACAGGGACGGGGACGGGGCAGGGGGAGAAGCTCAGGGTCGGCCTGCTCACCTCCCCTCACCTCGTCGCCGTGCGCGAGCGCATCCGCGTCGGCCCCTCGCCGCTGTCCGAGGCCGCCTTCGCGAGGTACTTCTTCGAGGTGAGCGACGCCCTGACGGGCGGCCCGGCACTGCACCCGCACGACGCGGAGCCCGGGTCCCGCCCCATCTACGCGCGCTTCCTGACCCTCATGGCGCTGCACGTCTTCCTGCGCGAGGGCGTCGACGCCGCCGTGCTCGAGACGGGCGTCGGCGGCGAGTACGACGCCACCAACATCGTCCCGCACCCGCTGGCCACGGGCATCTCGACGCTGGGCATCGACCACGTCTTCGTCCTCGGCGACACGGTCGACAAGATCGCGTGGCACAAGGCGGGGATCATCAGGCCCGGGGCCGCGACGGCCAACTTCGCCGTCGAGCAGCCCGCCTTCCCGTCCGCCGAGGCCGTCCTGCGCCGCCGCGCCGCGGACAAGGGCGCCGACCTGCGCATCCTGGGCGTCGACCCGCGGCTGGCGGCCTGCGGGGTGCGGGTGCGCCCGGACGCGGCGTTCCAGCGGCGCAACGCGAGCCTCGCCATCGCGCTGGCCGAGGCGGCGCTGCGCAAGGTCGTCGGCCCGGAGGGGGGGTTCACGAGGGACGAGGGCAGCCTGCCGGCCGAGTTCAGGGAGGGCATCGAGCAGGTCGTGTGGCGGGGCCGGTGCGAGGTCAAGGAGGAGGAGGGCGGGCGGCTGAGGTGGCACATCGACGGGGCGCACACGACCGACAGCCTGAGGATGGCGGCGAGTTGGTTCGCCGGCGCCAACGAGGGCCGGCCGGGGCCGAGGGTCCTCATCTTCAACCAGCAGGGCAGGACGGAGGCTGTCGACTTCCTGGACGGGCTGCATTCCGGCGCCAGGAGGGAGGACGGCTCGTCGTTTGACCACGTGGTGTTTTGCACGAATGTCACGCATGCTGCGACTGGCTACAAGAGAGGTATGTTGGTGGGTCTTGTTGGGTGGTGTTTTGATGAGACCGCGGATAATTACTAACAACTGCCAGATTTCGTGAACCACCAGTATGACCCCGAGGCCATCCAGAAGCTCACCGTGCAGCGGACATTCGCCGACAAGTGGGCGACTCTCGACCCCAAGGCAAAAATCACCGTCATCCCGAGCATTGAGGAGGCACTCAACGTCGCACGGGATCTCACAGGTTCACTCAACGAGGGCGAGGCGGTGCAAGCTTTCATAACGGGCAGCCTCCATCTCGTGGGAGGCGCCCTGGGTATCTTGGAAGGGGCTGATGCTCTATGAACAAGGAAGCCCGCAGGCCCCAGGTTTCTCTTTGTTTTCCCTTACTCCTCTGAACATCCTCGGCGGGAAAAATAGACGGCAAGAATTAGATGTGGTAGAGGAACACTGTGCTCAACGCACCCGGTACATTAGCCAAATCTTAAGGTTCACCACCTGGTTCCAACAGCTTCAGCGCCGGCCCCACCAGATTGAAGCTTCCCGTGACCAGCACCTGTACTTTGAAATTGTCCTTGCTCTTCTTGGCCCCGAGCATGACCGTCCTTGCCATATCGAGCGCTGTCGATATGCTGTCCGCGGGGAGTGCTGCGGTAAAAGGGCAGAACTGCCGTATGACATCGCAGTTCTTCCTCTGCACGGTAAACTCCGGCTTCTTCATGAAGCTGTTGGCCTCGTTTGTCGGGCAGAAGGCGTGGTGGAAGATCTTGTGGTTGGGTATTTCTGTTTCCTTCAGTATAGTCTCAAGGAGCGTCTGCAGTAGCGCGGCAGAGTCACGGTCTTGTTGGTTGAAGATGAGTATCCGGATGGAGTCCTCCCCGGAGATCTTGTCAGCGTACCACTTGCCCACCTGGACAAGGCTGTCTTCCGTATGTGCGCCGTCGAGAAACCACTGTATGCGGTCATCTGTGATTGTTTCGCAGCGGCCTCGAAGTGTTGCGGTCTGCAAGCCAGTAATAAATTGCTCGGGCATGTCGCCGAACTTGCTGGGGAGCGCTGAGCCCCCGCTCTCGAAGAAAGGGAGCTCAAACTTGTGGCCCAGTGCCTGCAGATGCCTCCTCGAGATGACAGCGGCGAGGGCCATGTTGCCTTTTTGAAATGCTCCTTCCAGGCGGGCGCCTTGCACACCTGCCCATTGCTCCAGCACTTGGTTGTCGATCAAGTCCAGAGTGGCCCCCTTCTCATGCGCCCGCTCGCTCAGGACCTTTGAGACGCCGTCTCCGTCAAGCCTCCCGGCCTGATAAGAGTACGCCGGCACCCCCTTCTTGAAAATGCCCGCCTTGTGCCATGCGATCTTCTCGACCGTATCACCCAGCATGAAGACGTGGTCGATGCCCAGCTGCGTCACGGCCGAGGCGGTGACGGCCTCCGGGGGCAGCACGTTGGTGGAGTCATACGCGCCCCCGATCCCGCACTCGATGACGGCAGACTTGATGCCCTCCCTCAGGAAGGCATGGAAGGCGAGCAGCGTCAGGAAGCGGAAGTAGAACGGCTTCGTCGACGGCCCGTCCGCGCCGAGCTCCTCACCCCCGGGCAGCTCGTCGCCGGCCTTCCTCGCGGCGTCCGAGAGGCGGTTCCACAGCTCGAAGAAGTAGGTGGTGAACTTGTCCTGGGAGATGGCCTCCCCGTCGAGGCAGATGCGCTCCCTCACGGTGACGAGGTGCGGCGAGGTGTAGGTCCCCACGCGGCCCGCGACGTCGGGGTACTGGCGTAGGACGGACGTGGTGAAGGCGCACGTGGACCCCTTGCCCTTGGTGCCCGCGACGTGGATGCAGCGCAGGCGGGCCAGGTCGGAGGGGGCGTAGCCGGCCCGGTCCAGCCAGGCCGTCATCTCGGGGATGGCGGCGGCATTGATGTCCCCCTGCGAGCCTGGGGCTGCGGTGAAGAGGTTGATGATGTTCTTGTTGGACTGCAGCAGGGACAGGAGGTGGAGGGCGTTGTCATAGGTCGGGACAAGCCTGTCTGAGGCCGACATGGTGGCGAGGGGCCTGTGTCTTGTGGAGACGGCTCTGCTGGCGGTGATGATGGGGCTTGGACAGCGTGCTGATCTCGACGAGGCGGGCAGGAGGAGAGGAGATATCTTGAGGAAGATGCTTGAGCTGACGGCAGCTCGACACATCTGCCCTGGGCCCTGACGATGCGGTTATAACAGGGTGGTTGTGGTGATTATTTCTGGGTGAGAGTCCATAAAGAGCCCCAGGTAGTCTAGCAATTCCTTCGATGGCACCTGTCGGCTGGACAGGGGAGCTCTAGATTTGATGCTGACCAGAGATCAAATCAGATCAAGCCAGGCTAGATCCGTGTATGCCTGCTGCAAGGTCAATCCCTCAAGTTGTGACCTTTTGGAGGGGCGGTCCTTCTGTAGCATCCAGCTGCGAGCCCCACCCTCCCGCCTTCTAGCGCTGGCCCTGAGTGGGCGTATCATGGACTGCACTCCCGAACTCCCTGTACGGTACTTCTGTCCGCCCGCCAAGACGTAATAACACAAGGGACCACAACTGGACCCTGGAGAGGCAGAGAGGCTAGCTGATCCAGACTGCCGGGTGTCGACCTTGTCCCATTTTAAAACGGCCCGGGGGCATTATCTCAAACGTTCAGACGTCCTTCAAAACTCTCAACTAAGACTTAGTAACGTGTACGGCCAATAAGGCCCTAGCAGGATGACTACACCTGCCCAGGTACATTAGAATAATGCATCATTCTCTTGCACTTGTGGGTGTCTGGAACTGGTAAATTGGGTTTGTTCTGGATTAAAGACAGAGTTCACCACAACAAGCTCTACTGGGGTGCCTGCCACATGACCACAGTATCTCCAATGGGATACCTTTCTTACAAGACTCCACGTGCAGGATACCCTCCCGTATGGCAACCTCACACACGACGATAGGGCAACATTCCAGAGGACACCATCCCCTCAGATGCCCTCGTATAGGATACCCTCCTATGAAATACCTCCTCTGGGACAGCCTCCTCCAGAAAAGCCTTCTCTAGGAGAGCCTCCCCCAGAACAACTACATAAGAGATAATAGGATATCTTCTAATAGAATATCTATTTTCTAAGATATCCAATATAGCAATCTTCTATAAATTGTAAATACATCGAAAAGAATAGTGGTGTTCTGTCTAGGTTCTGGAGGGCGCCGGCCAAGTGCTAGCCACGTCCCAGTTGCACCTTCCATAACGACAGCGGCACCGTCAGGAATCAGACCAGAGACATCGCGCCTTCCCTACTGCCCAAGGACCTACCTTACCACCTAAGATTTTGGAACAAATCCCAGGCGGTGATTTGGGTTCCCTCCGCTTGAGGTTCTTCCCCTCCATCCCTTCCAATTTGTCTTTCATTCTATCCATCGGTCTCCATCAGCAGACCACAGTGTCAACAAATCAGACCGTCAACAAACACTTCCTCCTCTCTCATCTAATCTACCCTCTTTCATCTGGTCATTCTCGCACCTTCCCACAACAGCTCCCAACAATGTCGTGCATCTTTTGCCGCTGCCTAGCATGGCTCCAAGCATGGCTGCAGAACAGACGGATGGCGAGAGCCCAGCTCGAGGCTGATCAAGCCCAGCAAAAGGCTGATCAAGCCCGGGATGCCGCACGTGCCGAACAAAATAGACGTGACCGAAGTGCCTCCTTTAACAGAAGGCGTCGCGAGCCACCACCGACCCCACTCCCTCCGCCAGAAGACACAGAGAACCTCGAAACTCTCCGCGCCCGAATTTTCCCCCGTTCAAAGATTGTGGACGACGAGGAATTCTTCACTCCGCCCTGGCCCACCGACACCATGGAGGAGGCCTGCCGAGCTGCTGCCGACTGGGTTGACTACTACATTCGCTTCGCCATCAATGAGAATGAGCGCGAGCTGATCGTCGCTCGTACTGTCCGGGCTATCGCAACTGCGGTCTCCACCTCGCCTTCCCAACCTGTGTTTGTCGCTACCCTTACTATGGCTGAGAGTATGGCCTTGATCTATTCAGAGAATCCTAGACGCAGTTGCCATTACACTGAACTCCCTCCCGGGATCGTCATCCGCCGTAGGAAAAATGCATTGAATGCTGCTGTCGAAGCTGGTATGGCCGTCCACACTGAGCAAGTTGCTCATCCTGAGGCCAACGCCCGGCGGTCCGATGACGACGAAATCAGCATCCCTGACTCTCAAACTTCCAATGTCACCAATACCGACTTTGCGCTACTCGTCAATAATGAACACACGACGGGTCAGGATCCTGCCAGTCTATCCAATTTGCGCCAAAGGTCGGCCGCCCGCCCGGAAACACCAACAAGATCATCCCAGCGGCGCGGGTAAGCACTCTTCTCCCCCATGTTTGGAAAACCATATTGACAAATCAACTAGACCTTTCTGAGAGCGTCTCAACTGGCGAAACTCACTCTTGGAACCCAACACACTCGCTATCTGCACCAACACCTCTTCCGAACCAAACCTCTTCCGAACCACCTCGTCTTCCAAACCATCTCGTCTTCCAAACCAAACCACCTTGTCGTCTGCCAATACCCGTCACTTGAGCACCTCAGCTCGATCAGCTCAACCATCTCGTTGTTTGCATCAAATTTGGTCAGTACTTTATCTCCTATCCAAGCCGTTAGTGTGTGTGCGTGTCTGTGTCCCTGCGCGGGGCTATCTGCAATGCCTCATCCTCAGCCTATTTGCATATCTGCAAGGCTTCTTGGCTGAAGACTATTGGAAATTATTCCAACTCTTTTCAAATTCTCTCCTCTCTTCTCCTCACTTTACCAAAATTCCCACGTCTTTCGGTGCAAGTCGACTCTCTACGCCGAGTTTTAATTCACCCGTCCACCTCAAAAGGCGTGTGGATTCGACATTATGAACTTGCAATAATCAGGGCTGCTATACACTACACTACATGCACTAGGCTCACTAATAGAATATAAATATAAATACTTTAGCCTTTAATATAAATATAATATAATATAAAGGCCTTTAATATAAGTACGTATAGTATAGTGGGTTAAAAATTAAAATATAAATATAGGAGGGTGGTAATATACCTTATAAAGTGCATATTTAATTTAGGTGTGCATTTTATAAGGCATAAAAAATATAAAAGGAAAAATATTAATTTATAAACTACCTATATAAATAAATATATATTAAGTAATAATATAATATAATATAAGTTTTTAATAATAAACTTATAATAATTAAAAAAAATTTTTATAATAATATAAATAAAATTAAAAATAAATTAAATAAAATTGCTCTACGCCTTATAAGGTGCACACCTTAATTATATATGCGCCTTACTAGGCGCACCTACTAGCCCTACTATATGCCCATTTTTATTCCTAACTACCTTTATTAAAAGTAATATATTATAACTTTCTTGTAATTTATTATATATTTATTTAAATTATTACTTTAAATTTCTTTTATTATTATTAAATAAAATAATATTTTTTTTTCTAATATTAACTACTTTTTATAAATGCTATAAGCATAATATTTAATATAAAAAGATTATATTTACTTTAAAGCTATTTTAAAAGCTATTATTATATATAAAAATAATAAAAATAACTTTTAACTTTAACATTTATTATTATAATAAAAAAATTTAAAACCATTTATAATAAATATAAATATTTACCTTTTAATTATATTAATATAATAATAAATCCTTAATATTACTATTAGTAAGGTATATTTTTATTGCTAGCATTAATATTTATTTATTAAGCTTATATAATTTATAATTTTAAATATTAAATTTATTAAAATAATATTAAAAATAAAAGCTTAATAAAAGGTATTATTTAATTAAATATATAAATTATTTTAATATTTACTAAATACATATTTAAAAACTTTTATTACTTAATTATAAGTTTCTTTAAATAAAAATAATATTTTATTTTTATATTTTGCTTTCAAACTACTTATATTATAACCTTAATATTAAATACCCATTTCTTCTTTTATTCTATATACTTTTAAAAAAGCCCACTAATATACTAAATAAAGGGCTACTATAATATAATAAATAGACAATTTATTAAATTTAATATAATAAAAATTTAATTTTTTCATATATAATTTATATTAATTATAAAGTATTCTAATTTAAAGAACCTTTTAATAACTTTCTTTTATATTTTAAAGCATTTTAAAAAAAATTTAAAGCCTATAATAATACCCTAAATACTACTATATATCTTCTTAAAGCCATTTTTTTATTTTTAAGTCTAATTATTACCCTTAAATACTTTAAGCACATTATTAATATCCTTAAAGACTTTACCTATAATTATAATTATATTTTAATTTCTCTTTATTAACTCCATTTTCTTATAAAAATAAAAGGTATTTTTAAATTAAAATATATAATAGCAAATAATATATTACTAATAATTATTTTATTTTATTATAATATTAAAAATAAATAAAACCTAATAGCTTAATAAATAATAATAAATATAAATAACTAATATATTAAAATATATATAACTACTTTTAATATTATTTAATATATAAAGTTTATTTTATTTTATTTATAAAAGTTCTTTTAAATTTTATATAACCAACTAATTAATTAATTAAACTAGTAAATAATAATAATAAATATTATAAGCTTAATAATAGGACTAGTTTTTATTACTTTATATATTATAATTTAGCATTTATATTATTTAAACTAAAAGGTTTTTAAATAATATAATATTATTTCCAAATAATAAAATATTTATAACCAAATTAATAATATATTTAAAATAATAAATATAACATTTAGGCTATTAATATTAAAAGCCAGCCTAATTTCTTTATTATTATATTATTATTACTTATATTATTTAAAATAAAATATTTAACTTTATTTATAATTTTAAATATTTATAAAATTTTAAATATATATAATATAATATTCTATTTAGTATAACTACTAATAAGTTCTAATATATTAAAACAAACTTTTATAAGCATATAAACTTATTAAAATAAAATATTATAATATTATATATAAAATATTAATTATTTAAGCGCTAACTATTAAATATAATATAAATTATTTTTAAATATTTTATAAAACCTTAATTATTATAAACTTAAACTTATTATATATAATAATAAGCTTTAATTATAATAAAGTTTATTTAAAAATTGCATTTATTTTTATAATTAAGGGGTTTAAATACTTAAATATAATATATAAAGCTTAAAATTTAATAAAGCAAAAAGGAAGGTTTTTAATAATAATAAGGTATAAAAGTTTTTACTAAAAGACGTCCTTATTAAAGTTGCCAATTAAATTATTTATAATTACTTGGTTTTTTAAATTAATAATATTTAGCTACTAAAACTTAATAATATTTTATATTTTAAATATAAATTAGTTTTAAATTCTAGCCTTTATAGGCCTTAGCATATTTTTAAATTAATTTTATATTTTATAGTTTAGCCAAAAATAAAATTTAATATTTTAAAAACCCCCTTTAATATAATT